TAAATATCTTTATTTTAAAATATATTCTATTTAGATATCTATTAGATCTTCTAGACGTATAAGAAGCTAGAAAGTATATTAGAATAGATAAACTATGTTACAAGCTATGCTAGAAAACACCCCCCAGTATATACATACATAGGAGGGGTTGTTTTCTAATATAGCCTCTAACATGTTTTCTCTATCTGATATATCTTTTCTTAGCCATGTTACGATAAATATAGGTATTTCTAATATTTTTAAGCCATACTTAAAATACATTTTTTTTATAATATACCTTGTAAGACTATGAAAATCCCCTAGAGGCCATGTTAGAAAACACATCCAACCCACGTAGGTAGGTACTAGGTACCTCCGGCTCATGATTATAGTACACTAATCGGGCTGTTTTAGCCGATCTAGTATATTCGGCTGCCCTTACGTACCTCCCGGCTGCAATAGTTATGTACCTCCTAGGTAGGTGGCAAGTACCTACCTATCTTAGTACCTACGCGCTTAGGGGGTGTTTTCTAATATAGGTTCCTAGACGTATGCATTCTGACATAGTCTATAAACCTATACGGCTTATAGTAGGGGTGGAAAATATACTAGGTAGAAAATACTTTTTAAAAGTAGATATATTAGAAAAAAAATCAATAGAGTATCTATTATTATTATTATTATTATTTAATTAAATAGGTACTTCTAATTACTTATCTAGGTACCTAGCCAGCCAGCCAGCCAAGCCAGCCAGCCAAGCCAGCCAGCCAGCCAGCCAGAGCCAGCCAGAGCCAGCTAGCCAGCAAGGCAGCGAGGCAGCGAGGCAGCGAGAGAAGGCACCGCGAGAGCACATATACGAGCTCTATCGCTATCCCTCTCTCTAGCTGTGGCTCGCTGCCTCACTGCCTTGCTGCCTTGCTGGCTGGCTGGCGGGCTCTGGCTGGCTGGCTGGCTCTAGCTGGCTCGCTGGCTCTGGCTGGCTTGCTGGCTCTGCTGGCTCTGCTGGCTCTAGCTTTGCTGGCTCTGGCTATTATAGAAGAGGGAGAAGAGGAAGAGGGGGAGAGGAAAAAAGAGAGAAAAAAAGAGAAAAGTAGAAAAAGAAGAGCTAATAATA